GGAGTCTATTCTTTTGAATAGAGAATTAACATTCTACATCATTCGACCTCAGTAGACACATAAAATCATTACAGTTTTCGTTTCCGCGTTCTAGCAACCAGGCTCCACACGGTTCTATTGTTAAGTTCTGTCAGTTTTCCTGGTCAGCGGTTTGTTGATGATGGAATGATATGTGCAAGTTTGCACGTGGCGGGAAAGATAAAAATTGCGTCCAATTCGCGGATTACGATCATCGAAATCAAGTATATTAACGCAAAAAATGCTGCAATACACACGGAAAATTGTAAACTTTCGTTAAACTTTAATTTGCAGCCCGAGAGAATTACAAAAGATGATTATGGAAAAGTGTGGAGTTGAGGATTCTGCTGCGAAGAGGGGGTTTGCGGGCCATACACTGGAAATGTTTTATGTAGGCCACATTGAACCAGATAACCCTAAAAAAGCGCCTTCTGTATTGCGAACTAATGATCAGATCGAAATGCTTAGAGAGAGTGAATCATGCTCCTTGTTCATCCGGAGGATTCAGCGAGTGCCATCTTTCAGAAAGGAACGGTAAACATCGTGTTTGAGAGTTCATCGTCTTCAACCTCAGGCTCAGCGGCTGCAACTTGTTGTGGCACTGCTACCTGCACGAGCAACACAGGCAATGACTTGGGTCAAACACCCAAAACGGCAACAGAGACCATTAGGAGGAAAAGTGGGGAGCAAATTGCCCAGAAATGATGAAGCAGAGATGAGAGTGTGGCAATTGTGTAAGGCAGCGAAATGTACGACAAGACAACACGATGGACAGAACTGGGACACTGCCTCTGAATTTGTATGAAACACAGACATTGCTTAATCCATTAGATTTGCAATTTGTACTTCCTCATGCGCAAAGCTCAGTGCCGGGGAAAGTGTAGAACGTCCAGATGGTGGGTCTGATGAACAGCCTGCGGAGGTTCTCACCTGCACTGATCAATGTGACGAGTACAGTAGCAGCGAAGGTGGAGACAGTGAGTCTGACGAGGATTGTGCAGATGATACAAGTGGTTTCCACATGGTTATGCCAATAAGGGCTGGAAGACAGAGACTGCTCACCGAAAAATGAGAGATTTTCTTCAGTCCAGCTCAAGGTATGTGTGTATCCAAACGACGCCAGTCCGCGCTTTTAATCAATTATACACATTAGTCTGCAAACAATCACTGGGAATGGGATTTTAGATTTGGTAACTGGGATTTAGACCAAATGTAAGCTGGGAACTGGGATTCGGCAAAAAGTTGGGCTAGGGACTGGGATTTGGTACCCCCCTTCATGACCCTCCGTGTATCACGATATTTTCAGTGGTGAGTTTAATCCTGGATTTGTGCTTCCACGGACGAACACTAGTGCTAAATGAGACAAATTGTTCCCGTCCGTTAAAGCGTCCGTGGGAACATAAAAAGAAGACAAGATGGAGGATCTGTCACCGGGAGAAAGCCCGGGCTGGCTTCGGAGTGAAGAGGGGGGACAAGGAGGGAGCGATCCGTAGCTGGAGCGAAATAACACGTCTCATTGGCTCGTCAGAGGTTAAAAACCGGTGCAAAGAAGCTGCCGACATGATCACCTACGATTTTCAACAAAACGTCCAAACCCCCAATCTGCAGCACAATGGCATGTTTTACAAGCGCAAGTTGTGGTCATACAACTTTGGTATCCATGACTGTGTGGCCAACCAGGGTTACATGTTCATGTGGGACGAAACCAAGGCAAAACTTTAACACAGGGGCGAGGTATGTTTCAGTTATTTCCTTAACAGATCTTACCTTCAGATAAACTGCCAAGGGATTGTTGAAGACAGTAGTTTTGGCGAGCGATTTGTGAGAGTTTTGCAGCGCCAAAATGACAAACTTTACTTGAGGAAACACCTGGTTTAAAAAAATTTTAATTGATACAGTAATTGGGCGAGCGTAACTTGTGTTAGCTCCAAAACCTTTCATTCTCGTGGATATATAATTCGTAACCGTTAAATTTGTCTTTCATTTTAGTTTACTTTTTTTTGTTTTTTTGATTTGCCACAAAACAAAAATAGAATTACAGTACAATGATGAATAAATTACAAAAATTAATATACAAGATTACAATGACGATACAAAACTACAATTTATATATTTAAGGATAGAAAACAAAATGGCTAAGGAACCTAATAAAAACCACGGGGCTCTAAAGCTTAGGTTCCCTCTCAAGAAACACCAGATGACTAAATTCAAATTCAATATATCTCTTCCTCAAAGCTCGCAGTTTTAATCCTCGAGCTAGTCGCTCTCGGAAAACTGTTCGCTTCTCGCAACAGATAATGTCCGCGGACACAAATATCCATCCGTCAAATGGAGGCTGTTTTTATTTAGTATAAATCTACTAGCGTTCTATCATGAATGCCGTCCTCTGATTGGCTACGCCACTCACTATCTATTCTGTGATAGATAGTGAGTAGCGTAGAAGTCTGGACTTGTCAACAGAATTGCGCCGCTTCTTGGCGTTTTAGAAGTGTTTGTGAAGAGGATTTAGATAAAGTTTTGAACTACCTGTGGATTTATACTAAAACAATTAGATTATGAGCTCGAGGTTTCTTGCTGCGCCCTCGTCAACTATCACGCGATAGACATCTCGAGCTCATTATCTAATTGTTTAATAACACCACATTTACCTTATCTTTTATAGGTCGCTTGCAAGTTACTCTGACGACTGTTCGGGCCAGAACAAGAACCGCCCCATTATCAGTCTTTACGCGGAGTTCCACCGAACTGTCGTGTACGAGGTACTTGACCGTAAGTACCTCGTAAGAGCCGGACACATGATCCTTCCAAACGACACCGATTTTGGTGTTGTTTATTGAAGCACTAAGCAACAGCTAGTTACTATCAAAACCAAACAAAAGAAAGTACTGGAAATTAAGAGTGTCTAATTATAATTATCTTATTATGGTTAATATAACCATAACACATTTTACTAAACATCAGCCGCAACATCATCAATATCATCATCGGCGATTTTTTTAAGTTAAATACAATTTTTAAAGCGTTTCAAACGTTTAAGACATTAATTTGCTTTGATTGTCCTGTCTCAAGCGAACAAAAATGTAGTTTAAATAGCTAGTGTAAATAATTAGAGCAATATAGTGTAAATAGAGTTAGTGTTGTAAGTAAGCATTTTCCCTTGTGTTATTAAATAATAATAATAATAATAATAATAATAATAATAATAATAATAATAATAAAAAGCCTATTCAACACGACATTAGTTTCTGGTTGTGAGGAAAAGCTATTTAGACTGTATTTTAACTGAACCAAAGGAAGGCTGTCAGGGACGCTAAGAGCGCCGCTGCAAAGATTTTGCCATTGAAAACATACCAAAAGTGGTTTTTATGCTACCTTATACCAAGTAGTTTTACCATCTTCATAAATGTGTTTGCTTTTCTGTATGTAAAAGCGAATTTTAAGGAAATTTGTGAAGAAATATCTTTTCCTTCTTTTTCCAGAAAAGTGCTGATTTCGACATTTTGCCGAGATTCAAGGCTTATTATCTCGAAAAAATGCGTGGCTACCCCATTTTTCTTTGTGGATTCCAATAGCCCTTGCAAAGATCTACGTTTTCTGTATGGTCCTAATCTGGCGCAAAAACCTTTGTATTTAGTAGGCACCGTCCTTAAAGATGTACAGAAAGTTTTCTTTCGCTATATATTCAATAATAGGGTCTAAATGTCCAAATGCTAGTCGAAATAATCATTTAACGCAGTCTTGAAGAGAGCTTGAAAGGTCGGAAAACTTGTCACACGAAGCAAAAGTCTCTCGAGATGAGGTTGTAGTGTCGCGATTTCTGGGTCAAACTGGTAGTTACAAATCAAGTTTGTTACACCTCTTACTCGAAGGATCTCTAAGACCCGTGTATCTGTTGGCCAAGAGTAACTTCGTAAAAAGACGCTTCAGACGGCCCAGGAAGGCGAAAAAACACCACACGGGTCGATGAACGTTTCATTTAACTTTATTGGGATATTCAGACCGAGATGTAATTTAGCGCGATGCAATTTTCAGAGCTTTATTCATAACCCTCATAGATTCTGTTCGTTTCATATTTAAACCACGAACACATAGAGTGGTCTGCCTGTGGTCGAGGTACTGGACGATATGGTTTAACTGACAAGAGTGGGTAAAGAGCTGAATGCAAAATGACTCTGTGAACGGGCGTTGAGTTCCTTGATTAACCACCAAAAAGTTTCACAGGCTATAAACAGATAAACTCCCTCGTGTGACCCCAACGAGAGGAGTGGCTCCGGGAAGGAGGAACAAACCCAACCTCAACCCAGGCCATGGGAGGCAAAGGAGAGAGAGCCTGGGGACGAGAATGGGATAAACCATTAGCTTTGGACACGGCCCACGTGACAGTATTCGACCAATCATATGTCACCTTTGCTGGAACATAGTTGGAGTTTAGTTGAATCTAATGCACCCTCCTATTGGTTGATTTTTGTCACATGGCAATTGGTATTTCTAAAATGGTAACAACAGTCCAAAAGCCCTTTTTACAGTATAATTTTTCTCATTAATGCATCACATCCATTGGATTATACTGTCAGAGCTGAAATGGGAAAAAGTGAAAAAGTGACTCTAAAAAGGGCTACCCCCACTAACAAGGGGTTACTTTGACTTCTTTTTGCCTTATTACTTAACACTAAACTTCAGCTATCAAGGCTATGTAACAAAACACTTAATTACTGGTCCCATTGGCCTGTGAACGCAGACGTTTGGGAAACAGTCTGTTTTGTTTCCTGGTAGCTCCAGATTCACAGGAAAAGAAAACCAACTGTTTCCTTTGGGACCAGTAAAGAGCTCATTTTAACCCATGGCTAGCAGCTTGGGCTAACAATGAGTCTGAGTCGATCAGTCCCAAAACATATTTATGCCCAGGAACATAATATTATTATTATATTTTGTATTGCATAGGGAAAATAAAAACTGAAAAAAAAAATGACAACAAAACAGTCTGAACAATCATGTGAGCTGTTTATAAGTTGAATAGCTTTTATCTTCTCTCAATAAAAATTCACAATAAGTCAAGCGAAGCTGGCTAGAAATTACAAAATCTTGCCATTTGTGCGATATTCATATAGAGACAATTATCCGGTGCTGAATTAATTTTAAATACTGCTCACTGAAATGGCGCCATAACTATTTTGTTTCACTGTACATATCCCATTTATTCCCAAAATAATTACATCAAGTAAAAGTGAGTTAACATTGAAATGAGATCTATGTGTTGTCAACCTTTGTTTCTTTTCCTAATTTCTTAATGTCAATGCCTTCCTTGCCATTGATCTGGAGCTTGAGTGATACAAGTTATCAGTCTAAATGCTGCACTGCTTGTTTCTTATCCATTCCAAGGACAGGTGTAACTTCATGGGGAATGAGAAAATATGAGAGAGGTAGAGGAATTTGATTGGGGTGGTGAAAGAAAAATAATGATTTTTTTTTTTGAGAAGTACTATTGATTCAAATCTTTAAGGTTGGGGGGGGGGGCAGATAAATCAGGGGACAACTATTATTTGAGGGAACATCATGGTAAGTGACAAATATTTATCACTATGTAATTACTGTGTGTTACTCCTCGGGCTTTTATGGGCCACATTTAAATTAACCAGTACATATTTTCTATTTTAACACTCATTTCTATTGACGAGGTTGATATTAAGCAATGTCAGAATTCACAAATCAATCAGAAGGCGATTTCTTGTTTTCAACCGCACAGAGTTGACCACCTCTTGCGTGATTCCCTGGCAACCTTTCAACACAAGTTTTCTCAACTGTGGCCACTCACTTTTATCGTGTTTGATATACCACTCAACAAGTATGGCATCAGTTATACACGTGCATTGACTGAGATCAAGAGTTCTCAAAACAGGAAACATACCTGCCAAGTCTCTCAAATGATAGTCTCTAATCAGACGCTGCCTTGGCAAGCCCAAGTAACACAGAGTCTTACCCACCCTTTCAGAAAAAAACAATAATCCATTTCCCCTTATGGTGGTATGCTTTATTTCAAGCCATTCCAAGTTTTGAAAACTTGGGAAGCTTTGCAGAGAGTAGCCCTGTAGTAGTATGGAGTCGGTCAAAATCAGTTTCTTCAAAGCCGGGAATTTCTTATGCAGTGGAAAGATCGCAGATTCACAGGAGACAAGGTACATGTAGGTGCTCAGCTCCAAACTTGTAACATTTTCATTCGGTTTGTTACCAGGAAAAGCCCATGATAGTAATTTGTTGGCTGCTTCACTGTACCAAGAAAACTTGGCAAGGATAGGCATGGTCAACTGAAATGTTCTTAAGCTAGAACACACTGTAGGATCAGCTGCATCATCAGATCCTTAAATGAAATAAAAAGAAGAAATTTTTTTGAAAAAAAAGAAAAACAAAAAAAACAGTTCATGTTTTAAGTAATATATCAAACATGACAGACTGTGTTTGACTACATTTCCAAACACCAAGAAGCTAGAGAGTGTTGAAAATATGACGTGCAGCGGAGTATCTTTGACAAACTTCAAGGTGTTTGGAAAAGTGATCATTAACTCTGTCTTGAGTGTTTGATATACATATCCTCTCAATCGAAACTAGAACTAACGAGAAAACAGAGAACTAAACTCATACAAATGTCGCACTAAATAATTGAGATCAGATATCCAAACACCGTTGTGATTAAACTTGATGAATTATTATTACATGTAAATTGAGTTTGCGAAGCATGCATCATCAATTAAGTTAAAGAACTGCATGAGTTAAACGAGGCACACTCAAGAGCGACTCTGGCTTTTCAGTGCTTTCCCCACTTCTCAACTGCATCAAACTCAAAATAGAAGATGGTGTTCCCATTTTTTTCCAAAAAATATATAGCATGCTTGAGGTCTAGAAAAACTGTTGAACACATGCACCCATGTTTTGCTTGTGCATCCAATCCACTAGCAGTTTTTTTAGATCTCGAGTATGCATTGATTTCTTAGAGAACATGGAACACCACCTATGTGCTACAGGTATAATTTCTGATAAATTATGGGCGAGGACTTGTTGACGTGGCCTTGCTAGCTATGTTGTATTAAATATTATTCTTTACACCAAACAATGGTAGTAGGTATTAGTCTGCATCTGAGCCAAGTGGCCCAATGATCAGACTGGCACTTATCTCCACTTATCTCTGGTTTCTGTAACTCTCTCATCGATGGGATACTAGCTACTGGTAGTCCATTGTAGGGTTACCCCCAGCATTAATTTTACTGGTACCCATTTATACACCTGCATGTGGCGAGGTACTGTGAGAGTAAAGTGTCTTGTCCAATATCCCAGGCCAGACTCAAACCCAGACCCCTCAATCCAGAGGTGGGAGTAGTAAACAAAAAGGCCTACTGCACCTCCACACATCAAACAATGGGACCGGTATGATTTAGTTTTTGTCACAAATCTTTCAATTTTTAAGTTGAAAATCATCCCTAAAAATATTTCTATGGCTAACTGATGCCCATTACTACAGGTAATTTTTTAAAAATGTTTGTTGAGGACAGCAGTGAAGCTTAATTTTTTACATGCCATGTAGCTAATTTGAAAGTTTGTCTTGGGACACACAAACTAACATCACGTGGGAGAATGTTTTAATCCTACATGTATTTTATACAAAATTTTGTTTCTATTTGACTTTAGGTGGCCAAGGTCAAGAAAAACTATTACCTTCCTCAGCAAAATGTTTAATGCGACGAAGGGATAAAGACTGCATATGAGGATTATTAATCATCACTGTGTTGAGCCAAGACTTCCCCACTTTCTCAAAACACAATAGTGAGATGCTTGTCAATTTTCCAGAGTAACATAACGCCTCCTTGAGGTCAACTGCCAGTATAGTCTAGTGAAAAGTAGCAAAAAAGAAAAGGCTATTAAAGCTTATAATCCATCAAATATTTTCGCTTGCACGCAATTGGTCTAAATGCATCACATGACTGAATATTGCCCAGCTAAAACTGGGGAAGATCCGAGCAATATTCCCCAATTTTCAAAACCGCTTGTGTTGCGAAAAATATTTGAAGGATAATAAACACAATAGCCTCCATTTGGCGTGAAAATATGCTCGAATATTTGTCCTTGGAATTAAAACTCATAGCTCATTTCTCAGAACAGATAATATTGCGAACATTAATATACGAGCATATTTCCATGCCAAATGGAGGTTACTGTTTATATATCACATTTGAATGTTTTGTTTTTCAATTTATGATTTGTTTGGCAAACTGTGTGAAATGTTTGTTAGGTATAGAGTCAGTTCCTGTCTACATATAAGGAACTATTAAAAATGCTCCTGACCATGCCGGAATAAAACACCTGAGGAGACAAACTACCGTAACCACATCCTCGGAGACCCAGGGGCAGTTGGCTATAGTGGGGGCAGGGAAAAGTGTAAACAGGAGAGAGAAAAATTCTTGACTTTTCTTTGCCTGAATATTTTTCTTGCCCGTTTAGACTTTTCCTTGCTCCCACTAACTGCCCCTGGGTCTCCAAGGATGCTGTAACCAAAGCCAAACAATAAGATTAGTTTTATATTGCTAGTCCTATATTTTCTACTTATTGAGGTGCAGGGTAGTGAGGGAGTAGTGATGGCAATTTCATCAACTTTAAACAATAGTGAAATTTATTGTTTCTCAAGTTACAATGTTTCCTCTATGAAAAAAACACTGGAAGAGAGCTGAATGATTTCAGATGGCCTGCGTATCAGGTGTTCATTTCCAAAAGCATGCGAAGGGAATGAAACTGTGAGTGAGTGCAAAAAAATTAAGGAGCCATGGGGTATGGTCCCCTCCCCAATTCTTCCCAGATTTTGCTCACTCCAGGCTCACTCGTTTGCTCACTCACTTGCTTGATCTCCCTGCCCGGAAAATGGCAAGGAAACAAGCTAGATTTCAGACGACTTTCCCCATTTATATTGGAAAATAATGATATTGCTGCTTGACGGCCCAAAGGATCAAAACTAGTCCATCTATCTTGCCTTAACAGAGGGCAGTTTCAAAGGGCTCAATCTACTCCAAGCCCCCCTCTCTTATTGGGCACTTCTGTTTTATTGATCCTCAATCAACACTTGATCAACAGTTGGTTGATACATACTCTACTAACTATGGCTGATAGTTGGCTGAGTGTCGACCCACTCATATACATCATTTGAAAATTAGTTGACTCTCAACCGACTGCTGACCAAGATGTCGATCAAGTGTTGATTGAGTGTCAAGTGAGTGTCAACCGAGGTGTCGACGGATTTTCGATTGAGTATCAATTGACTGTCAATTAAGGGTCAATTGTGGGTATTGATTGAGGTATCAATCAACACTGAGACAACCGCGGATGCCTTTATAGTACACATCATCCTAATTTTTCACCTAGGAAGAAAACAAATCAATTTAAAGTACCGACAGAGTAGCCCCGTCAGAAATAACAAGATTTTTTATCACTATTCACAAATCGATACCTCGTCTGTTAAAGGCACACAGATTTCCTGACGCGCAGTAAAACTTGAGTCGTGCCCAAAGCTCACTTCTTCCATCATCGGCAAGCTTTTAAACAGGCTCAGAAAAGTTATCCTCGACTTACGGCCTATGATGACGTCTAAATCTCCAAATGCCAGGCTCTTCAGATTACAAAGATGACCACTTGACGCAGCCTTGGAAAGAACTTCGAGGGTGGCTGACCTTGTTACGGAAAGGGAAAGTCTCTCGAGACGATGTTGTAGTGTCGTGCTTTGAAGTTCAAAATTAACGTTACACACATCTAAGTCTGTTACACCTCTTACTCTAAGGCTCTCCAAAGCCTGTGGATCGATTCTCTTATCAGGTATACGTATTTTGACGTCTTTCCATAGTCGAGGAGAGTTGAACACTTTCCGTAAATATCTGTTCACTTGCGCCATGTTTTGACGATCACGTCGGTTGAGATACTGAGCAATGTGGTGAACCACAAGGGTGGGTAAAGATGTAAATGGAAAATTACAATTCTGCGAACGAACGTTGAGATTCATGATTAACCGCCAAAATTTATCAAAATTAACGCTCGCAATTTAGTAGCACATGGCTCAAAAAGTTCCGTTGGCACAGTAATCTAGAGGCGTTCCATGCATGCTGGTTGGAGCTGGAACTGAGCTACTCGAGGACACTCTGTGACGTGTTATTTAGACAGTTGTTTACGTTTGCGGTAAACAAATATGGCAGCCAGGGCCCTGTGTTCTGTGGACTTCGAGGTTTTTGGAAAAGTCCAAGGTACCGCTTAAATCAATCCTCTCATTTATAGGCCCATCAATTAGTATAATGGTCAAACAGCTTGTGATTGCAAACCTACCTCTTGGATTTTTAGAACTTATTTTACCTTACGGCTAGTTTCAAAACAGTTCAAGGCTAGTTCTTACATAAGCCTGCACTGTCTGTATGACGCATTTTGTTTATTGGTTATTGTTTGTTTATTGTTTATTTTTTTGCCAGTTAAAAGGGACATAAGGGCTCGTAGTTATGAGAAAGACAGCATTAATTGTCAAAAAGCAGCACATTTATTCATATGTAGCTGCAGAGGAAACTAGTTTAACCACTTTTCATTGCCTACTGGAAACTGCTTTGAAACTTTTGTCAGGTTGCACTGGGCATTCCGTTTTGTCCGCTCTCCCCCCTGCCCCCCACCCCCTGTAGGGGGTAGATTCCGTCAGCCTTTTTTGTTGGAGAGCCTTTGAAGTTTGCATCTGGGGGACTCA